CTGGTAATCAACTCCATGATGGAATTTACTGTGAGAAGCTGAGTAGCTGCCTTAGGGATGTGGCCTGCTTCCTGTACATAAGGAGAAGCTTTGGGAATGGTCTGTAGCCTATGGCACACTTGAACCCTGCATGTAGATGAGTCATCGTTCAATAGCCTGTCATGCTCTGCCGATCTTGGGACTTTCAATGGACTTGAATTAATGGTCTGGTGTGTTGTTTGCTAATATTGGGACTGTGCCTTTTTATTTATCCACCTTGGGCTTGTCAGTCTCAGCAGCCAGTAGCTGTCTGAGTGAAGAAGAGCCTTCAGCTCAAGGCTCAGGGGCTTTCACCCAGCCCCTAGAGCCTGGCACTTTGAACTCGGACTTAAAGCTTCCAAAATTGTAAGAGAATAAACTCCTGTTTGTTCAAGCCATTCCATTTGTGGTATATTCCTGTCAGAGTGACACTACATAACCAAAACAAGGTGTATCTGTAGGCAGATGTGTATATATATTTGTGTGTGTGTGTGTGATATATTCATATATAAAATATAACATACAGGGAGCACAGTTATAGATACTTCCTAGACATAACCAAAATCACGTGGATTTGAAGGCATAGGACCATAGTCTTATGGCATAACATCGCTCATAAAGTTTATGTTCTATATCTTAGTTTGGTGAATTGCATCTGGGGTTATATAACCTTGTGAGTGGCCACCTAAATTACAACTATTGATCTCTACTTGTCTGTAAAAAAAGAGAAATAAAGCAACCAAAGACTCAAAGAAACTATAGGACTAATTGCCTAAACAAATCACAGCCTCATCTACCCTGAGACCAAAAGAACAAGATGGTACCCAGCTACCACTACTGATGGTTCTGACCAGGGACACAATAGATGGTCCAGGATATAATGGAAGAAAAACATAGAACAAAACTCAAATTCCTAAAAAAGGCCAGACTTACTGAACTGGTAGAGACTAAAGGAACCCCCAAGACTATTGCCCTGAGATACCCTTTTAGATTTTTATTGAAACCACACCTGGGGGTCATATTTCAGATATGTAATAGATCAGCTCATAAAATAAACAATATCACCCATGGAACTGTGCTCATTTAAAAAATCATCTATATGAGACTATATAGTCAACAGTTACCCTAAAGCAAAGATGGGAAGATAAAGGGGGGTTCAGGGAAGCTAGATTAATGGAAATGTAACAATCAGAACAGATATAATGAGAATGTTGGCACATTGTGAAAAATTCAACCAGTATCACTGAACAGTATGTATAGAAATTATTAAGTGAGAAGCTAATTTTCCATGTGAACTTTCATCAAAAACACAATAAAATACTATAATTAAATAAATAAAATAAAACAAAGAGACAGTGAGCTCTGATGACATCATTTGAGCTCCTAGATCAAGCTGTGTGGGAAGCCAGTTGACTTTCCTTTGCATGAGTAAATAAATTCTTGTGAATTTTAAAAAGTTCTTTTTTTTTTAAAAAAAAAAATGAATAAATTAAATAATGGATAATAACAAAATATAAGTTGAAATCATACTTCCTGAGCTCTACATGTATGGCAAAAAATAAACAGTCCAGTTAACATCACATTGGGGAATGATCAAGATGGACCATGCTCCCCTCTTTCCCTTCTTGCCATATAAATAAGATAGTCATATATTCTAATTTGCATGTGATATTTCTGGTTTATGCCTACTGTCCCAGAATCCTGTATGATTAGAGCTGCCTTTCAAAATGATCCTGGATTTGTGCAATAAGTCTTATGGTCACCGTACGTCTAAATGATGTTTCCTTAATGAACAGCATATTTAAGTACAAATGCTTCCCTGATAAGAAAGTTTATCTTTGTGCCACTCTGCAATTTACTTTGATGATCCATGAGTGGGTAACTGTTTTAGTTTAGTTTCTACATAACTATTTAAAGCCAAATAACAATCTTCAGGAGCCCCTGGGCAATGCAGAAGTTTAACAAGCTTGGCTGCTAACTGAAAGGTTGGAGGTCTAAGTCTATCTACCTAGCTGCTTCTCTGAAGAAAGGCTTTGTGGTCTGCTTCCAAAAGGTCACAGCCATGAAAACCCTACAGAGCACAGTTCTACTCTGACACACATGGGGTCACCAAATGTTGCAGCTGACTGAACAGCAGCTGGTTTAACAATCTGAAATAGTTAATCCCTAACTAGGAGAATATACCTTAGTTATGTCAGCATTCTTTATTGCATTTTATTGATAAGAGAAGTGAGACATGAGAAAGAAAAGTGACTTATCCAACTCACATCAAGTATGAATCTCATTTGCCACATGAGAGGAGGCTGTAAGAGCTCTACTTTTGGTTTTTCATTAATTCTCTAAATCACATAGTCATTACTTTGCAATGAAATCTCCAGTTAGGTCAGAGAAATTTTAATCATTCAGAAAACAGCTTTGTAAAATGCAGACAGTAAGCAAGCTATTCCAAATTGTATAAGCAAAACTACAGACATATCTTGGATGATATATTTTAATAGGTATAGATTTCATAGTTAATAATATTTCAATTTCATTGAAGTAACAGTAACAGTTTCTATTCAAATCTAGTCTATTGGTCCTAAAATATCAGAAGGTGTATAAAATGGATGAAATTTAAAAATAAACATTTAATCCCTTTGGTAAATGAAAATAAAGTTTGTTACATTTTTACATTTCACGTGTGTGTCTAAATTTCATACCAGGGTACACAGTTTAGCTAAGACTTTATTTGATTAACATCTTAGATTATAGTAGAAAATCTTAAAGGAGCTAATAACGTCTTTTTCTAGAGCGACATAAACCTAATGGCAAAAAACCAGGTTATGTCCAAGATCCGTATTAAAAAAAAATTAAAAAGAAAAAAACTCTACTGCTTCCATAAAAGGAGAGGTATATCATATATGTAGTGGGAGAGACTCACTATAATAAAGATGTCACCCTCACATTAATTTATAAACATAATGTAATGTCACCCAAACTCCCATTTGCATTTTGTGAGGTGGGGTAAAATTCATGTAAAGTTAATTTGAAAGAATTAACTCAAGAGAAAAACTAAAGAATTTTTTATAAAACATAACCAAAGTATAATAATACATATTTTGCTGGCATAGACCAGTGAAGTGAAATTGAAAGTTCAGAATTGGGCATAGATGTAAGTATTCAATAATGAGAAATAACAATGAAAGTACGAAAGGATTAATAAACAATGTAGTGACAGCTGGGTAGATTCATAACTCACACCTCATATCAAATAAATTCTAGATGGACTGAATATTTCAGTGTGAGAAAATGAAAACAAAGTGTTTGAGAAGGTTCACTATGTATGACTTCAAAAGCAGAAATCAATAAAATAAAAAATACTAAAATATTCAATCACATAAAACATAGTAATTTATGAAGGATATCAATAATTTTCTTTCATTTATATTATTATTTAGATTTATCATTTGTCTTTTAATATCATTTAGTTCCTTTTGACATACAAAAATTAAAAAAACTGTAGGAAACTAAAAATATCAAACTTTAAGATTTCTTTCTTTACTTCTGGCTCAGAAATGCTTACCCCAAATCAGAAGAATTTTCACTTATATTTTCTTTTTTTAAAAAATTGTGATCTGGGTAAAAGTTTACAGAGCAAATCCATTTTCCATACAACAGTTCATACACATTTTGTTTCATGACATTGACTGCAACCCCCATAATGTACCAGCTCTCTTCCCACTTCCTCCCTCTGGTTACCTTTTCCATGTATCCTTTCCTATGCATTCCTGCTCTCTAAGCTGTGTGTCTGTGCAAATTCTCCCTTCTGGTCCTCCATGATTGATTGTTCTAAGGAATGTACCTACTTGGTATAAATGCTCACCTTATACACCTGTTTATTGTTTGGCTGGAAGCCACGGGAATGAGTTCAATTCCAGACCCAAAGGGTGACTAGAGGCCATAATCTCAGGGGTTTCATCAGTCTCTATCAGACCAGTAAGCCTGGTCTTCTTTATAATTTTGAGTTCTGTTCCACATTTTTCTCCCACTTTATCTAAGATCTCCTGTTTTGATCCCTTTCTGAGTGGTTGACAGTGGTAGTCAGGCACCATCTAGTTCTTCTGGTCTCAGAGTCACGTAGGCTGAGGTTGACATGGTCTACTAGTCCCTTGGACTAATTGTTGTCATGTGTCTTTGTTTTTCACTCACTTACATTTTCTTAGAATTCTTTCATTGTTTCTTATTTATGTTAATTAAATAAATGAGGGGTCAATATATGGCTCTGTCCCTTTTTAGCTGTTTGGTTTGGGGATGTTACTTAGCCTCTCTGTATCTCAATTTCATCTTTTGGAAAAATAGGCATAACAACATCAGCCTGTTAGAATTGCTATGGAGACTGAAAGAAATAATTTACACAAAGCATTTATCATGGTAGAGACTGATACATAAAAAGAAACAATAAATAGTAGCTATTACTCTTTTTTTAAAATTATTATTATTTTTAATTTTTGCAATATCCCCTCCCCTCCCATCTTACCCCTGGTAACCAACAAAGAAAATTTCCTTCCATATATAAACCTTTCCTTGACTTTTATAATAGTAGCTATTACTCTTAACGCTATCATCTTGAATAATAGATTTCTTAATTTTCACCGGAGTATTTCCATGACAACCAACTTACGGAAATGGTATTTTTACCTGATTTTAAAATAAATTTCAAATGATGTGTTTAATGCTGCAATGTGTTTCTTTCAAAATGATTTTTAAACCATAATATATGTCAATCAAAGAAAAACATCTTAATTCTTTGGCAACTAAGCAGTTACACAAATCATTCCACAAAGTTTGCTTATCCATTTGGTCTCTTAAAGTTGTGGTCTGAGTTGTCAGATTGCCAAGTAACTGTAGTCCACAAACATTAAGAGGTTTCCTACATTTGAGAACTGTTAAGATTATTTATGAGCTTGAAATATAAATAGGATGTTTATCCTTCTGAATCTTACCTCTAGTAGGCCATCCTCAGGTAGATCAGTACAGTGAACAGTATTCTGGATCTTAGTTTTACCAAAGATTGCTCTGAGAGTCCCAGGGCGCAAATGTCGGGCAATTTCCTATAAAATACAAATTCACACAGAGATCAAAATCAGTCATATGGTCCTAGTAAGAAAATCACCAGCTGTGTGCAACACTTGTATTACTGAATATATAAAATGCATGTATATGTTGATGGTGTTGATTTTCTTAAACACAGCATGAATGTATAAAAACTTTCAGTGATGCAAAATTTCAGTTTAGTCCTAAGGCTTCCTCTGTGGCTTCATGTGAAGTTCACTGTAATCTCTGCTAGAGAGCAGTTTATAAGAATCACACAAAATATGAACCCAGTTCATTACTGTGAAACACTTGTATTTTATGTAGGTAACAGAGATCCTAACACTTTGCTTTATAATGAACCAGTTTGATAGTATGATTACAAAAGATTTTCAAAAATGTTATAATTGTATGAGCATTTTATGCGTTCACTTCAGGGAAAATGTTACAAGTAATTAATGAAATTCTGGATAAAAGAACCAGGAAGTTAAAAAAGTTAAAGACATGAGAGTATCAATAATCTATTTAATACTATTTCTTTCCATCTAATTAGAAAAATAAAAAAATTAACAAGTCCTATTTCAATTGAAGGAAGGTTGGGCAATCTACTGTAGTGATACTGCCTCGGCAACCCAAGGAGGGGTCGCTATGAGTCGGGGCCAACTCGACGGTACATAACAACAACAACAACATTTCAACTGATAAATATATTGCACATACCAAAGGGTATACATGAGTATTTTTTAATTGTGATTTGGGTGTTTTTGGGTGAAAATTTACAAAGCAAATTCACTTTCCATATAGGAGTTCACAAACACTTTGTCTCATGACATTGACCATAATTTACCACAATGCAACAGCTCCCCTCCCACTTCCTCCTGATAGTTACCTCTTCCCTGTGTCCCTCCCTCCATGCACTCCTGCCTCCTGAGCTGTCTCCCTGTGCATAAACAGCCCTTCTTTCTCCCATGATTGTTCTCTCCAAGGAGTGTATCTACCTCAGGTAAATGTTCAACT